TGATATGAGGAATTCTTAATCTCAGGAAACAAACAGCGTTGCTGGAGTGGTGGGGGGTGGGAGGGATGGGGTGGCTGGGTGATAGACATTGGGGAGGGTGTGTGCTATGGTGAGCGCTGTGAATTGTGTAAGACTGATGAATCACAGACCTGTACCTCTGAAACAAATAATACATTATATGTTAAAAAAAAAAGATAGTAGGAAGGGAAAAAAGGGGGGGGAAATTGGAGGGGGAGACGGACCATGAGACTGTGGACCCTGAGAAACAAACTCTGAGGGTTCTAGAGGGGAGGGGTGTAGGGGGATGGGTTAGCCTGGTGATGGGTATTAAAGAGGGCACGTATATCACGTATTGAATGGAGCACTGGGTGTTATATGCAAACAATGAATCATGGAACACTACATCAAAAACTAATGATGTAATGTATGGTGATTAACATAACATAATAAAATAAAATAAAAAAAAGAACCTGGCCTAAGAGTCTGGTGACATTAATAATCTGTTAACATAGGACTTTACAATTTACAGAGTGAATCCATATTTATTAATATTATTGTTTTTATTTGCTTGGGCTTAGGATAGGATTAAACCGTTTTCTACATTACCAGTTCTTCTGCCAGAAAGGTCCATACTTGGGAGAGAGGAATGAAAGATTAAAACCTAATTTGAATGGCTAAGAGATGCCAAATTAGCTAGGAAATGTCAAATAGGACTAAAGATTCAAACTGCAGAGTTCCAGCTGAAAGTAACCACGTATTTTGGCCAGCAGGAAAGATTGCATATTTAGGGAGGGAATGGCGCCGACAGAGGCAAAGAGTGCTTACTTCAGCGTGAGAAGGGCTGTATTGGCTACCAGGCAGAGCTGAGATTGGCATCACCTCATGGGGCTCAAGCTGGACACAGCAAAGGAAAGCCAGAAGAGCTGTGGGTTCAGTGTTGGGGGGCGCTGAGGCCTGGAAGAACTGAAAAAACCTAACTTAGTATCTCTGCTTGGTAGGACTTCAGACATCCTCTTCCCTAAGTGAACAAGCTAGGTAACTAATTGAAAAAGAATGCATTTGGCACCAACTAAGCATTCTGAGCAGCTATGGAAGTATGGGCAATGAGGAGCTTAGCTATGAACTGTTTGCTAGGAGGTAGGATCTGTGCTCTCTTCTTCTTCCTCCTGTACATTAGATCCCTGGAAACCTACAGCCTGGTTAGAGCCTGCTGAACATTCTTAGATGTGTGGCCCATCCCAGGTGTGGCTGGGGCACGTGGACAGTTTTGCAGGCCGTGATGAGCAGCATCCCTTTACTGGTCATCAACTCACAGTGCTTTATCTGCAGGTGCAATTTCTCTGTGAAGTTGACAGCTTAGTATAGTGAAAAGAGCACTGGCCTGGAAGTCATTATTACTAATCTATTAACCTAGGATTTTACAGTGTACAGAGTACTTTCAACAAAGTTAATAATAACAGTCGTAAGTACATGTATAATACTTTAAAATTTGCAAAGTGCTTACGTAAAGGTATTGAGTAGAGCCGGGAAGCAAACCCACATCTTCTGACTCCTGATCACAGTAATTTTACTGTGTCTGATAATCTTTCTAAACCTCAGTTTTTCCATCTGAAATACAGACATAATAATACCCACTGTGTCCACCTCTTAAAGGTGTTGTAAGATCATAGAATGTAAAGCATTTTGTACATTGTGAAACAAATGTCAGATGTAAAGTGGTAGTGATTACATCACTTCTGTTCTGGCATTGCGGTATGAGCTCTAACGAAAGCTTCTAATCAGAACTGTGTATACTGTCATAGCACTGAAAGGGTCAAGGTTTTCTACCCTTATTGGATTGTTATTCCTGTTTATCAGAAAGTCCTTTGCAAACTTCTAAAGATAGCCTAATTTCTAAAAATCCCAGTGGGGGAAGAAATAGAATCTTTATTTTTTTAAAAGATTTTATTTATTTATTTGAGAGAGAGAGAGAGAGCATGAGCAGGGGGGAGGGGCAGAGGGAAGAGGGAGAAGCAGACTCCCTCCTGAGCAGGGAAGCCGACCCAGGACTCGACCCTGGGATCATGGCCTAAGCCGAAGGCAGATGCTTAACCATCTGAACCACCCAGGCGCCCAAAATAGAATCTTTAATTCCTGTTTCTCTCAAATCTTATCAAACTGGTAAGGCTTGAACAGAACCCAGGGTCTGCTGGGTCTGACTTTGCAGATGTTCACTAGTGGGTGCTTCAGAATGGAAAAGTTGCTTTCCTCATTGCAGGCATTAGCAGGGCAGAACTCTTGGCTATCAGTTCTGAAGAAGGAGAATTCTAGGGGCTGTTCCTCCAGTATGGTCAGCGATTGAGCAGACTGTCTTTTGCTTTTACTGTGATAGACCTGGCTCTTCAGGACTTCCTTTCTCTTTCAAGGGTTGTTGATAAGATAGTCTGGCTAGTTTGAAAATAAAACATAAAGCAATATATAAGCCTGATATTTTATTTTGTAAGATAGTTGCTTTACTTATATTTTATATACATATATATATTTAAATTTATTTGTGTGTGTGTGTACAGTGGTGGTTTATTAGGCTGCCATAGATAAGCAATATACCATTTAATCATTGATTCATTTAGACACTTACTGAAATGCTCCTGCATGCCAGATAAAATGCAAGGACTGAGAATATAGAAAGAACTAGGGCAGAGAATCTTGCTCTATAATCATCTCTTCCATTCATCTCTTAGGACTTTCCAGAGTCACACAAAATTATTTTCATTGTCCTTTTTTTTTTCTTCTCATTTATTGACTATCTTTGGCAAAGTAAGGGCTCCAGTGCCAAAGATGGGGGAGCCATCAAAGATACCTAGCAAAGACAGGGAAAAGGAGGTCTACAGAATCAGAGAGGGCACTCAGAACAATGGCCATCTGAGGCCTTTGTCAAGTCAAATTAGTTCACAAACCTTTGTTTAATAAACTCTGATTTTTGTGGGGATTCCTGGGAGCTCTCTTGGGTTGCATGTTCATTTGTTGAGTTTAGACTTTGAGAAGGTTATTTCTACTTAAGTTTGGTATCATTGGGATGCCTGGGTGGCTCAGTCAGTTAGGAGCCTGACTTCAACTCAGGTCATGATCCCAGGGTCCTGGGATCGAGTCCAGAGTCGGGCTCCGTGCTCGGCGGGGAGCCTCCTTCTCCCTCTGCCTGCTGCTCCCCCTGCTTGTGCTCTCTCTCTCTCTCCGACAAATAAATAAATAAATAAAATCTTAAAAAAAAAAGTTTGGTATCCTTGTTAGTTACTCCCGCACCCCTGCTAAGGTCCCAGATCTGTGCCCCTGGGCATGGCCCTCACTGTTATTTGATGGGCTGTGGACTTGAACTTGTCTAGACCTGAATTTTTGTACTGGAACTTTTTTTCTTAGCAAGGATGGCACCTCTCCTTCAGTTCAATATGTGCCTATAGTCCAGCGTCTTAGACGTACAAAGAAATATGTTCCCTGTACCCTGAGAATCATACAGTCTTATTGGGAAATGAGAAATATATGAAAAAATGAAACTGAGGTGGGGCGCCTGGATGGCACAGTTGGTTAAGCATCCAACTCTTCGTTTCAGTTGGGCTTGTGGTCTCAGGGTTGTGAGATCGAGCCCTGCATCAGGCTCTGTGCTCAGTGGGAGTCTGCTTGGGATTCTCTCTCCCTCTGCTCCCCCACCCTGTGCTCTCTCTCTCTCTAAAATAAATAAATAAATAAAT